TCTGGGTGCAGCGGCGGGTAGTGAACCACCCCCCACAAAGAGGAGAAGATGGCCAAGATGTCTGGAGCCCAGAATATTTCTGGGAGCTTCTCAAGAAACCAGGAACGTTGGTCCTCCCAGGAAGGAAAGCCAGGTCAGGAAGGGGCAGGGAGAATGTTTTTTCACTGTAGACCCCACATGTACCACCGGCACGTACGTCCTGCCCCAAAATAAATGAACTCGGTTAAAACTTTTTAAAAAAAACGTAGGAAAAGAGCGGCGCCTCGGTGGCTCAGTCAGTGAAGCTTCTGACTCTTGATTTCGGCTCAGGTCGGGATCTCACAGTTCGTGGGATCGAGCCCCGTGTCGGGCTCTGTGCTGAGTCTGCTCGGACCAGTGCGGAGCCTGCTTGGGATTCGCTCTCTCCTCCCTCTGCCCCCTCCCCCGGCGAGTAAATAAGGAAACATTTTTTTTTTTTAAATAAAATCAAAATAAAAACACGTATAAAGAGAAAAGACATCCCCGGGCGAAGCCAGAAATCACAAACGCATCTTGTAACAAGGAGTCGGCACTTTCGTCCACGGGGACGGCATTGGCCTGCCCTGCGTGGCCTGCCTGAGACTCCTCACCTCCCCCAACCCCCTTTCCTTCTTCCCTTCTCTCATTCAAGTTCGGCAAACATTGGCCGAGCACCGAGATGTCCCCGCAGCGAGGCCAGGGACCGGCAGCAGGCCCCAGGCTGGCGTGGGTCCAGGGGAGGGAGGGGGGTGGCTCTAACCAGCCGGGGCCCTGGGAGTTGGGGGGCGGGTGCAGCACCGCGTGGCCTCCACCCGCCGAGGCGGCTTGAATAGCGTAGTGAGGAGGGTCCTGCTTTGGCCAAGGGGCTCCAGCCAGGACCCCTGAGGTGGAGAGGCAGGGGTGGCTAGGGAGCCCGGAGAGCTTCGACCCTGCATGATCCACATCATCCACCAGCAGTCGGGGGGCTTTGCCCGGGCTGATACAGAAGGGGCCGCGGGTGCCTGAGCTGGATGTTAAAGCCGGGTAGGGGGGCGAGGGCGCAGGCCAGGCTGCGGGCCCAGGGGGTGCACAGAACAGGTGGGGAACAGGTTGCTCCGTCCGGCCCCCGGGCCAGGTCCCACCTGCCATCACCCGCCCTGGAGCCAGGCCCACAGAAGCCCCCTTACGGGCGTCCCTGTTTCCACTCCTGACCCTGCCCGTCCGTTCTCCACTCAGCAGCCAGAGCAAGCTTCCCCTGAACCAGATCAGCCCATTTCACTGCAGCAACCCCGCTGAAACCTTCCAGTAGTTTCCAGTGCGTTCATAATACAATTCAGACTCTGAATCTCGGCCTCAAAGCCCCGTGGGAGTAGCCTGGCCATCGTCTCTGAAT